TCCTCCTCCTCCCTCCTCTCCCTCCTCCTCCTCCTCCTCTCCTCCTCCTCCTCCTCCTCCTCCTCCTCCTCCTCCTCCTCTCCTCCTCTTCCTCCTCCTCCTCCTCCTCCTTCCTCCTCCTCCTCCTCCTCCTCCTCCTCCTCCTCCTCCTCCCTCCTCCTCCCTCCCTCCCTTTCTCTCCTCCTCTCCTCCTCCTCCCTCCTCCTCCTCCTCCTTCCCTCCTCCCCCCCTCCTCCTCCTCCTCCCTCCTCCTCCTCCTCCTGCCTCCTCCTTCCTCCTTCCTCCTCCCTCCTCCTCCTCCTCCTCCTTCTCTTCCCTCCTCCTCCTCCTTCCTCCTCCTTACCTCCTCCTCCTCCTCATCCTCCTCCTCCTCCTCCCTCCTCCTCCTCCTCCTCCCCTCCTGCCTCCTCCTCCTCCTCCTCCTCCCTACTACTACTACTACTACTGTTCCAACTACTGTTCCAACTTACGTGTTCCCAACTACTGTTCCAACTACTGTTCCAACTACTGCTTCCAACTACTCGGTTCCCACACTACTGTTTCCAACTACTGCTTCCAAACTCACGTTCCAAACTACTGCTTCCCAACTACTGTTCCAACCTTACTGTTCCAACTACTGTTCCAACTACTGTTCAACTACTGCTTCCCAACTACTGTTCCAACTAACTGCTTCCAACTACTGTTCCAAACTACTCGTTCCAACTACTGTTCCAAACTACTGTCCAACTTACTGCTCCAACTACTGTTCCAACTATGTTCCAACTTACTGTTCCAACTTACTGTTCCAACTACTGTTCCAACTACTGTCAACTACTGTTCCAACTACTTGTTCCAACTACTGTTTTCCAACTACTGTTCCAAAACTACTGTTCCAACTACTGTTCCAAACTACTGTTCCAACTACTGTTCCAACTACTGTTCCAACTACTGCTTCCAACTTACTGTTCCAACTACTGTTCCAACTACTGTTCCACTCTGTTTCCACTACTGTTCCAAACTACTGTTCCAACTACAGTTCCCAAACTACAGTTCCAACTACAGTTCCAAACTACAGTTCAACTACAGCATGCCACGACAGTTCAACTACAGTTCCAACTACACGTTCCAACTACAGTTCCAACTACAGTTCCAACTACCAGTTCCAACTACAGTCCAACTACAGTTCCAACTACAGTTCCAACTACAGTTCCAACTACCAGTCCAACTCAGCTTCCAAACTACAGTTCCAAACTACCATTCCAACTACATTCCAACTACAGTTACCAACTACAGTTCCAACTACAGTTCCAAACGACAGCTTCCAACTACGTTCCAACTTACAAGTTCCAACTTAAAACCCAGTTTTCCCCCAAAAACTAAAAAAACCAAAGTTTTTTTCAACTACAGTTTCCAACTACAGTTACTACTACAGTTACTACTACAGTTACTTAACTACAGTTACTACTACAGTTCACTACTACAGTTACCACCAATTCACGGTCTACCACTACGACGACAACCATTCACTACCGACCGACGACTACCCGACATCGACGACGACGGGACGACGACTACGACTACCGACGACGGAACCACTACGACACGCGACGACGACTTACCACCACTACGACGACGACGACCCTACCACTACGACGACGACGACTACCGACTACTGACCAACCACTACCACGCCGCGCACCCACCGCCCACCGCCGCCGCCACCGCCACCGCCGCCCCGACCGCCACGCCGCCCGCGCCGGGCTACCGCTACGCCTACTACCCCGCACTGCCGCCGCGCGCCAGTGTAGTAGTAGTGTAATAGTTAGTAGTAGTAGTGTATAGTAGTACAAGTTACTAATCCTACTACTTCTTACGTACTACGTCTAATACCTTCTACTAATACTTTACTCATCCCTCCTCACTCCTCCTCGTTCTACTTCCTCCATTCCTCCCCCTCCTCGTTCTACTCGTCCTTCCTCTTTCTCCCCCTCCTCGTTCTTCTCGTCTTTTCCTCCTCCCGTTCGCTCTCCCCCTCCTCCCCCTGCCTCGTCTACTTCGTCCTTCCGTTCCTCCTCCCCGTCCTCGTTCTCGTCGTCCCGGACTCGTCGCCCTCGCCCTCGCCGACCCGTTCCGCCGACCTCGTCGCCCCTCGCCCTCGCGTCGCCCTCCCCTCGTCCGCTCGCCTCGTCGCCCTCCGCCCTCCGCCCGCGAGGAGGAGGAGGAGTTGTAGGAATAGGAGGAGTTGTAGGAAGAGGAGTAGTTGTAGGAAGAGGAGTAGTTGTAGGAAGAGGAGTAGTTGTAGGAAGAGGAGTAGTTGTAGGAGAAGTAGCAGTAGTAGCAGGACTAGTAGTAGTAGTAGTAGTAGTAGTAATGGTGGTGGTGGTGATAGTAGTGCTGGTGGTGGTTTTGGTGGTGGTAGTCGTGATAGTTGTTGGTAGTCGTTGCAATGCTGGTAGTCGTAGTGGTAGTAGTGGTAGTGGTAGTCGTTGTAGTGGTAGTATTGGTAGTGGTAGTATTAGTA